AACCATCAGTACAAGCAGTGCCACGAGTGTATCAAAAGTGTCGGATTTAAAATCAATTTATGGAAACGTATACCTAATAACAATAATAAATTATTCCTTTAACCTTTATCCCTTTTTTTTCATCCACCTTATTGCCATCCAATTTAGTTTATAATCTTTCCGATACAGTCTGTGTAATATTATACATTGTATTAATGACATACCTAATCAAATTATTGCATTTGGCATATTATTTTAGGTGCACATCACAGCTATACATTTATTGAAATATCATGTTATCCTTTTATTCCATCCAATACAAACTGTTCGTGTTTACCAGAAAGTAAAATGTTGAATCACAAAAAAAAAACACTTAATTTAATCGAGAATTTAAATGTAATTACGTAGTTTTTTTGTTGCATCTACTTTTTAATTTTTTTTCTCCAAAAAGCACAATTTACTATAACAATTATAAGAAAAAAAAAATGAAAAATAATCATAATTACGAACACGGACGAAAATATTAGTTTGGTTGTCATTTAATTTATTAAGTTATTCATGTTTGTAATAAATATACGAGTATATTGATGTAGTGTATTGAACATTGAAAAATGGCCAGTGTATATATTTTGTCAAAAATACTATCTTATGTTAGGGTTAGGTTTGTGCTCAATTCCACAATTTGAAAAATACGTTTAATACTGTTTCTAGAATAAAAAATGTGTTTTTTAATTTACAATTGTATATTACATTATTGTTGTACATACCAATTAATGCGATATTAAAACTTCAAATTGTAAATTAGGTTGGGTCCTTGTTTTTATGTGTTAAAAACAGGGCTTGCATTTGAAAAAAAAATTTTGTTTTACGTTATTTACAATCAAAACGTTATACAAATTTTGAGTTTATCGTTATTCAAAATTTAAACGTTATTCAACTTTTGTGTTTATCGTTATTCAGAATTAAAACGTTATACAATTTTTGCGTTTATCGTTATTCATAATTAAAACGTTTTACAATTTTTGCGTTTATCGTTATTTAAAATTTAAAAGTATTTAGATACCTGTTTTAAAAGAACACAGGCCGCAATTTAAGAGTATACGACTGTGACCTTTTTTTGGGGACATAATTTCCCTATTCTGAGTTTTAAGTAGGTATTGTTAAATTTTATTTATTTAATTAAATGGGTTAAACTAATATAAAGAAAACGTATGCACGTTAAAACTATAAGTATATTAGTATAAAATATAAATATTAAACATTTGACAACAATTAGACAAACACTGACGAGTGAATAAATCTGAGCAACCTGAACACCGAACACAATAGTTGAATAACTTGAGTGGTATAAATTTCGACCGTAGTACAGATAGTACAGTACAATATTATCAGAGCATCACTATTATTAGCTATTGGTAATTAAATTATTCTATTAATAACTTCTTATTAAGTTTTAAAATAATATCTAATACGGGATCTCCCGGATAGGCCGGATACGGAATAAAATTAATTCTTGGATTGAATAAATAATTGAATACTACTAAGTATTATTAAATAATTGGGAATTAATTATTTCGTTTAATGGAATACAATATATACCGTTTTGCGTTATGTTTTGTTTAATGATACATCATATATTTTGTTAAACGTTACGTTTTGTTTTGTGTTATTTATTTATTTACGTTTATCGTTTTCCGTTATAATTACGTTTACAAATTTCAATCGTTTTTTATCAAATATAACGTTATAATCATAACGTTATTATAACGTTTGCAAGCCCTGGTTAAAAATGAATTAAGCCTCATACCTATTGTACTCGGCGAGTATCATGACCAGTCGAGCATTCAAAACAACTTCCTCCACCCACCGTTCACCATTGTTTTAAGATCATGATCTTAAAGTGCACCGATTATACTTGGGGTTATCTTGGATGGTGCAATATGGTGAACTGGTCAAGCACGCTGTCAATGAAGGAACTGTGGCCATTTACTGGAGTCCAGAGTTCAATGATTCTTGAATACACTTTAAACTATTTTGAAGACCAACCTCACTGCTTCAAATTTTGAATTTATTTTAAATTTTGTATGTATGTATCTTGAGAACGTTATTTAATATCAAAACGATTGTGTAATAGACAATAGTCAATCACCAAAAAAGTCATAATGTTTATTTAAGGGACAGCTTGTCGATCGAGCAAAGCATGTTTTCAATGTTGCACTATTATCAACGATCCGATTTATTTTCGATTAACATTATTGTTATTTTCGAAGGTGGATAAGATAATAAAAATAATTGTGTTAGAAGTTATGAGTACTATGTTAATATAACTTATACATTAACAAACATAATAAACTCAAAAAGCTGAATATTAATATTGTGAAATTTATTGCCATGGGCACTTAGCTGATTTAAAAAGAAATTAAGTAATTGATTATAATGACCTCCTTGCCCTTAGGTTACATATTATTGTGACTGATGAACAACATAATATATCTACTAAGTATTTTGTTAAAAATGCATACAACATTTTTATTATTATTGTTCAATAGTTGTAGTGACTTAAAAACATTATTTTTACACATTAATCAACATAGTTATATGATCAAATAAATTATTAAATTAAGGAACTTTTTTAATTTTGTTGTGAATAGGTATTTGTTAAAACCGTGTGATTAAACAAAAAATAATTAGTTTTAGCTAGGTTGGTACAGTATGGTATAAAACGTATGTGTAAATTTGACTTTAGCTTACGTATTATTTTTCAAATTGACTATAGAAAGTTTTGGATACTGTTACTTGTTAAGTAATTAATTTGATTATAAACTTAACTTAGTTAAAAAGTTAAAAATAATAAGTTTTTAGTTGGTACCAGTTATCACTTATCGCCCATATTTGATTATTTTAAGTATACCTAAATTCTAACTGAAATAACGGTTATTTCTGGTTTGTAGATCCTATCAAATAAAAAAAAAATTGAAATATCTACCTACGCCGAATTAAAAATGAAAATCTATTCGGTAGACAACTAAACTAGACATTAAATAACACACTTTGGTCAAATCAAGATATATTTTCTTCTGAACATCGTGGGTCAAATTCACAGTAATTTTCAGTAGAACCATTAAATAAAATAAATAATAATATTATTATATCGGTAGATGGCAGTGTATGTACCGGTACTGCTAGTCTAATGGTCCAGTCGTCCAGTTTGTTGAAGAACTTTCCAATTGCATTACAATATGAAGTAGTATAAATTATATTTAGAAGGTTACTGAATAAGCCATCAAACCTAAGACCATATTATAAAATCAAAGTAGTATACGATTTAATCATTAAAAACATTAGTTAAACTGAAACTGCAGGACTGATCAAGATGTCATCACCCTATGGTTAGGATGATTTTAATTTTGAAAACGGATTTTAATATTTTTAACATCATGTGTGTTGAGTTATAATCGGATTGATTTTTGGTATTCGAAAACTTTTGTATGCTAAGCTAAAAAATTAAAATATAATAATATCATTATTTTATAGAACACAGTAAATTTGCATTAAGTTATCAACCAAAATCCACATTCAAAATTGAACTTCATTACTTGTTATATTTTTCAAATGTTTCATATAGGTACAGTAAGTTCACACCAAAAGTAGAATTATAATACATAATAATATCTTATATTCTTACCCTATTTTTACTTGAAAATATGCACTTATTATTTTGATTGATACAAGTACAACAGTGTTAATCGTAGGTACTTACATTTTATTATTTTCTTTAATCGTGAGTGATGTAGGGTCCTGTTTTTTTTTACCGAGGACCGGTTACTCACTGTTTATTTGGTTAATTCAAAATTAATTATATTAAAAATATTTTAAATTTATTTTTCATATAAATATATATATTTAACTAATCTTATCTAACCCAACAAGAAATTTAAAGATTTTGTATCTTTTTCTCTAGTTGTTGAGTACCCAACATCTGGTTGTTAATAAAATAACTATTAAGGGGATCGGTGGCGGTGACGACTGTCTTTGTCTAACACACGCGCAACATAAGAATTCAGAGGTGTTTTTCGGCAAACGTACCGATTGATAAAGTGAAGCGATAAGAATTCTGAAAACAGATTTGAATTTAACGTCAAGTCTACTTGAGATCGGTCAGTCTACATTTTTAATTTTAGATTCTGAGTGAAACGATGAATGTTTTTTAATTTTTAATTTTAATTTTTTTTTTTATCGTTTCACTCAGAATCTAAAATCAAAAATGTAGACTGACCGATCTCAAGTAGACTTGACGACAAATTCAAATCTGTTTTCAGAATTCTTATCCCTTCACTTTATTAATCGGTAAGTTTGCCGAAAAACACCTCTGAATTCGTATGTTGCGCGTGTGTTAGACAAAGACAGTCGTCACCGCCACCGATCCCCTTAAACTAATCAGGATTTATATATCATTGCATGTTTAAGACGATTGTAATAATACGTACACGGTCAGAATTTACATTTAATGTAAAATGCATTAGTAGATACAATGGTATTAATTTCCATCCTTATCCTCTATGCGTATAATCCATGACATGGATACAATCTATATTATTAACATAATAATATTTGTGTTACAACCGTTGCTACCAATCAGTTAACGACGTTTATCTTTGCAATTGTTTTTAGATGGTTTGCCATACAATTTGTATAGTGGGAAAAATTTTCATAGAAAGTCTTGTATTATTCAATTGTTTTGTTAAATTTTAAAAGAAAACAGTTGAGACGGTGCTCACCGTCCCTTAATAGTTTAGTCTTTGAGTAGATTATGGAACGAGCAACTCTGGTTGGTTTATTTCTATCGAAATTATATTAGCAAATATAGGGGACAAGGACGGCGTGCCCGGAATCTAACACGGCCGATCGGAGGGCAAGGGCTCGTCGACAATAATATTAGGGAACGGTTATTTTTTACACGCTGTTAGGGGTGGGCCGCGCAACGTCGTGTCATGCCCGCAAGACAAGCGGCGCGTCTGGCAACGGCCGTACATCATTTGCGCATCGTCTGTTTACCTGTGCCAAAATATCGTACATCATTTGCGCATCAGCGCTAATTATCGTTTGAGCATTGTCCGTTTTACCTGCACCAAATTATTATACATCAAATGCGCATCAACATGCTGAACAATAGAATTGTATAAAAAATAGTTTTTCATTGAAAATGTAATGATTTTCATAAATCATATGTAATAAACAAACCCATATAATTAAAATAAATTGAATAAATCTTCAATGTTCATCAATTTTTATTGAGGCATAACAATTTTTTTATCTTAGTTATGTTATTGATAACTATAATGATAATCCTACACAATATTATCTCAATATTCTCAGCTTATCGGCCCATTAAGTGCCATCGCTGCTATCACAAAATCTCTCCATTTCTCTCTACCATATGCGTCGTCAAACATATTTTAAAACAGAAATATCTGTACAATATTTGAAAGTTGATGAATGAATTTCAAGATCAAAGTTAGAAAACAACTAGCACTTTTGGGTGTACACCTTTTTTAAAATTCTATTGTTAAATAATATTGATGCGCAAATGATGTAAGACCTTTTAAACGGCTGATGCGCAAATGATATATAACCCAAAAATCGAACGATGCGCAAATGTCTTACAAAAAAGGTCTAAATTAACAATAGCGATGCGCAAATGACAACCGGCGCTGGCAACAAGGCCCGATCGGGACGCTTGACCCGAGCAGGTGCCGCTCGGGAGGACTAAGACTTTGTAAGCCCCGAGAAGGGCTATTTATGGTGTCCCGTTGTCACACGTACGGAGGGAATACGACGGGCGTCGCTGGAGTAGTGCGGCGGTGTCTTCGGTGTTCGGCCGCTCAGCTGTTTTTCAAAACCGACAACGCCTGCAGGTGACGTCGAGGGCGTTCGTCGGGACAGATCGTAGCCCATAACCGACTAACCCTGAGAGGTGTCCGTCGGGCTAGTTGTCGTCAGTCGGTGAGGTGGGCGGCCCGCAATACGTTGTCTGCAAAGACAGCCTGTCGACGGCTGGTTGTTCGCCTGCGGTGCTGATTTGGTGGACGGCGGCATTGCAGTCGTATTCGACTCGCTTCTCTTCCGCGGTTTAAATCTGTCTTCGTTTTGCCGGAACTCGAATGCCTGATCGCTGCCACGCAGGTCGGTTTCTCCGGCTTCGTTTTCCACCGGACTGGACGGTAAGTTATTGGTGAGTGTTCGATGCCGACAGACGGACCGGTTTGTATGCCCGTTCGTTGATATGGTCTGTCTTTTGCTTGGCTGGTCGATCTCAGGTTTGACACGCCGTTTATTGTGCATGCTTCTACGGATCAAACGGTGTTGTTTTCTATTGCCATAATGTCATATTTTACTCAACTCGTTTGTTGGCTCGGAGAAAAGCCGTTACATTGTGTTTTGCGCCGTTACACAGTTGGTCGTTATCTCTACACAACAATAATATGTATTGTATTGAAACCGACACAAATGTCGGAAAGTAGAAATAAATTTGAAGGACCGAAACTGTATAAATGCAGTTGTAGGTTTATATATTTTTATTTTTATATGTATTTGTTATTATAACAATATGGTATAATAATAAAACATGGTTATCTCAATATTCTAGTGGAAGACGTGATTATTCCTTATCAGCTGTGCACTTACCACTTTTATCAGCACAGTTTTTTCCCTAATAAACGACAAACGTACTGGCCGCGTGCCACCGGTTATTATCGGTAGTCGATGACAACAACGACTCCCATAATACCGATGGGCATTTAATCCGCAGGATCTGACTGCTCAGCCGTCGGACACTTTTTAGTTTTATTCACATAACACAGTAAGTTGTCATAATTTTCGCGAACCCATCTCGGGTTACCCGTAGGTATACCGTGTAACATGGTCCGATTGACTTAACACTGTTGCTTTAAACATTTTATATATTTGCTCTGCGACCTTAGTAGGTGGGTACACAGCCAACTATGTGTGGTAATAAACGGTTAATGTAATCTTTTAAATAATAAAAATAAATAAATAATAAAGTTAACCTCGTCCACGAAAACAATGAGAAAACGCTCGGCCCTCGCCCTCGCCAATTTTCACCACTCGCGCCAAGCACATTTCGTGCCGTATAACATAATATATAATATACACCGTCGACCTCGGTGGTCTGTTAAAATATTAAACCAAATGACCTGGAATCGTCTCGTCGGAGGTCATGGAAAAAAATAAGGGTTTCTTAGTGTTATGTAAGGCACGCGATTTTTCGTTTCTAACTCAGTTTTAGTATTAAGCAGTACCGTAGAGACACAGAAGGAGAGGCTCGGGTGGGCAGATTCCCGGAGTTGTCAAAATATGTAGGTAAATTAGTTTAACAAATGATTAATTGAGATAGGTAATCGTATTAGTATTACCCAATATTTTTGTGATTGAATGTTTGGAAAAATTGTGTGAAATATTTTCACAAAATGATAAAATATTAAAGTGACTAATGTCGAAGTATTGTTAATTAAGGGCTGCATAATTAGTATGCACGGGCCCCAAAATTATAAGACGACCCTGATTTTAACGGTATACCTACCTACTAATATTATTATTATTATTATTATTATTATTATTATTATTATTATTCTTATTATTATTATTATTATTATTATTATTATTATTATGTGCAGCACCGCACCGAGTTTCGCACGTACCTACGCATTTCAAAACATTTAAATCTCAACGCGTTTTTTTTGTTGTTGTTTGTTTTAAATGCCTTTTTTGTCCCTGTTTAAGGGTCAACACTATCTAAATGCTAACAAGGAATATAATTAGTTGGTTGAATGTACTTGCGAGTCATAAATTAAAGAAGATAAACACGCCATATTTTTTTCGTAGAGGACAAGGTATAACTCAGTATAAGATAACACCTTTACTAACAAGTTTTTATAGACCTCCAAATCCTATCCTAGTTAAATGCTCAAAGATATGAATTAATATAATACATAACATTTTATGTAAGACCGAATGAATATACAGGATGTTTTTTTAAACATGATCACCCCAATTTTTAACTTAAATAGTACATTTATTCAAATTCTGATTTTTAGAATTTTTAAGTAGACTTAAAGACTATATTATTTAAACATTTTTAATATTTTTGTACTATTTAAGGAGTATCCTGTGGAGTTATAAACTTCTAGTTTTCAAATGAGAACCCCTCTTTTTTACTGAACCATATTTGGCCAACAATTTTTTTGAAAATGTTGATGTATATAAATAAAAATTCTAATGAGTAGTTTCTGAGTTATTAATATGTTTATAGTAATGATAATAATCTTTAAAAATGGTTTTATAAAAATAAAACTATATGTTATGTTAGATGTAGTATTTATTATACCATTTTTACGAATTATTTAAATTGGCAAATCAATATTAATCGTCTAAGACCCTCATTTACTTAACTCATTATCCTTAAAACTCAAAGTTACATAACTCAAAAAGTACTAGCTTGAATTTGAATTTAGATGCATAAATATTTATTTTCAGAAAAAATGTCTGCTTATAATTAATGATGAAAGTGGGGGTAAGAACTCGAAAAACTGAAGTTTGTATTGTCACCAGATTATCCTTAAGTGGTACAAACAATTTTAATGATTCGAAAAATGGTCTACAAGTGTATTTAAAAATTCCAAAAATCTGAATTTTAATATATTCATTATGTAAGCATAAAAGAGCAAGCTTTTTAATTGCCCTATATATATTATACTGTAGTAGGCTATATGTTTTGTTTAAGAAAGGTCGTTGCAGATTATAGAATATAACGTTTCAATGTATTTTGTGTTTCGTATCACAGTTATAAGGAACCAAACTTGAATGTCGCGTGGTGGAAACAACGAGCTTTAGATAAATACATAATATTCAAAGACACATATTCTGCTCAAAGAAGTTGTTTAATCCTAATAATAGGTAAGCCTCTGGTAATCATCTATATACAAAAAAACGTGTTCATGTCATTTATTGTTGTAACATCAGTGCGCCTGTACGATATTATTTTATTAAAATTTCAAACCGTTTTATTTAGGTATCGTCGTCATGAAATTGTATGACTGACGTGCATTATTCAATGTCCATACCAATATAGATAGGTTATCGTGTTTATAATAATTTCATAATATTATAGTACGGTGATTGGCAGTTGTGATTTTTTTCTCCTTTGATTAAATTTTAATTAGACTTTCCATTAGCAGTATACCCACGCGAGTACGACATTAGATAATATCATTATGACAATATCTGAAGAAACGAAGCGACGCTGTGATTGACAACTGCGGCAGACGGGCCTGGGGAAAACGATGAAGGCAATGTTCGGTTCGGTTGTTTCACACTATAAAACATAGTTGACTCAAGTCGATGTGAATTTAAATAATAACGAACATTTTCCGTCGACGTCATAATATAATATGTATGTATGTTATTATCACGAGCAAAGACATAATAATATTATTTTGTAATTATTATAATTTTCGTAATAATGGCATAATGCACACGTGTCACGAAACATAATGTAATGATATTACCTATATATTTTATGCTAAGTTTTAGTTTGATAAGTTTACTGTGCTTTTCCTCTCCCCTCATACTTTCCTTAAATTTTAAATTATAATAAGATTTACTTTTTTCCGACACCTCTGAGGCACTGTAAAGAGAGTTGGTGCTTATTATTGTAGCTTTGTCATTTAAATAAAACTATGTTTGTATCAAATTTAAGTATTTATTTTAAGCTTCCTACCTATAAGTCATGATTATTATGAAATAGTTTATCGTTATAGAATTACTGTATAGGGAATAAGCATGGTGTAAATGTTTGAGAAGAGAATAATATTTGCGGTTTTGTCGATGAAATGTAATGAAATTTATGACCGAATGAACAAAATATTTTTCAACGACTGAAATGGTTTTACTACCAAATTTCACAATAATATAGCCTTCATAGCCGTTTATTTTTAATATTTTATTTGATTAATTCATTTTTCAACATACCCATGTTTTTAGTTTTTACAAAGTTTAGTTAATTTTTAAAACGCTAAAACCGTCTTCGCATTTTCATACATTGCATTGACCTCGTCCAATATTTTGATTTTGCAAACCGTCTTTTAAATTTGCTATCACCTGAGTATTTTGCAATATCATAAGATGTTCTGTGTAAAGTTATTTATTTTTAAGTCAGAAACTAATGATTTAAATATTGATATCTTATTTCTATGAGCTTTCGTCACCCATTTTCT